TCCTGGGGCTGGGGCAGCGGCTGGTTTTCCTGCTCCGTCCTCATTCAGACCCAAGCCCCTGGGGATGAGGCTCGGGGGGACAGGATGACCCTGAGAGACGATCCCACTCGGCACGTGTTCGTGGTGACCATGACGAACCTGACAGTGGAGGACGGGGATCAGTACTGGTGTGGGATCCAGGTACCCTGGTATGACCCCATGGTCCCTGTCGTGGTGTCTGTTCTCCCAGGTGAGCCTGGCGCGGCCGTTCTGCTTTGGTAGAGGCTGGAGGGGCAGAGGGAATGGAGAGGGGAGGTTGGGAGGGAGGTCGGGGAGAGGCAGAGATAGAAGAAATCCCCCTCTCAGCTGCCCAGCTGCCCCAGCATCCCTCTCCTTGCTCCTGCGGTGCACACAGCCCCCCTGGGACCACATCTGGTGCTTCCCAGCCACCCCCCAACACCTCCCCACCAGCAGCCTCTGGGATCCCGGAGCACTCTGTCACCAGCCTCAGCTGCAGCCCGGGACCAGATAACACACATCATGGTGCTTTGCTTCCATCTCTTTCCACTGCAGTGCCCAAGACAACACACTATGACCTCCACATCACACAGAGGGAAGAAGCCACAACTGCTCCCACCTTCCCATGGACTCCCTTGGAGCTGGAAAACACCATGACCATGCTGCAAGCCAGAAGCCTGCAGGCTGGGTGAGGGCCAGGGCCACCGGACAGGAGAGGGACTGTCCCCAGCCCAAGGACCAGGCAGCCTGAGGATGCAGGGTCCCCCCCCAGCCTGTCCACAGGGCTTTGGGGCCAGCGGGGCATCTCTAGAGAAAGCTGCTGTACCCCTGCATGCCATAGCACTGCACTAGTTGGGGGTCCCAGAGCCTTTGCCCAGGTCCCACAGGGCTGCGGGGGACCACAACACCCCAGGCAGGCATGTGCTGCATCTGGGTACTTGTCCGTGGTGGTGGGGGATGAATCTGTGCAACTCTCTCATGCCAAGTTGGCCAGACATTGCATGTGCCCATGCATGGATCCCTGGCCAGGAAACCTGGGAGAAATCCTTGGAATATCCTCGCCAGCCCACAGAGTCTCATGCCCCCCAGGGCTGTGATAAATACAGGCATGAAAGCCCTCCCTAGGGCACAGGGCTGTAGAGAGGGCAGTGCAGAAGGGCAGTAACACCCTTTTCTCCCCTCCTAGCACCCCAAACCTGCTTCTTCTGGTCCTGACACCCTCCGCTGTGCTGGTGCTGGTTGTGGGCATCACCATCTGCTGCAGGATGAGAAGAGCATCGTTGGAGAAGAGCAGAGGTACAAGTGATCTGGGGCCCCAGGCTGTGGCCCCCCTCTTCAGGGTGGCTGCAGGGATCCCCGCGTTGCTCCCCAGCACCCGTACCCCCACCTCAGCACACCGCACACTGCCCTCCTGCTTATCCCAGGACATGAGCAGGGCTTGGGGCAAAAGGGGCTGGAGCTCTCCCCAGGATCCCAGTCCCCTGAGCTCCATGGTCCAGGACCTGAGGTTGCACAGGAGCTGATGTGACACCCATGGGGAAGGGCCCAGGACCCCCCCAAAACGCTCCCCTTCTGCAAAGAGAGCTCCGTGTTGGTCTTCTCCATCTCTTGCTCTTTCCCCAGCAGCCCGGGCCATGGAGAGGAAGAGAAACAAGGACTTCCAGGTACCCCAGCTGGGAGGGTGGTGGGATGAGGGTCTTGTGATGGCTCCACCATGAGGGAGCCGCTGCCCGGAGCCCCCTTGTCCTTAACACACCTCGGCCCCCCCCAGGTCACTGCAAGCTGGGAGCGAGTGGCTGGTTGCAATAACATCTAGATGAACAGGGAGCGGGAGCTCAGCTCGATCGATGATGACTATGAGAACAGCCCGGCCAAGTGGCAGGTAAAGGGGCTGGGGCAGCCCCCGGGGCATGCAGCAAGTTATCCCATGGGTGCTCCTTGCTCCCAGCCCTGCAGTGGGGAGGAGCTGCCCCATTCTGGGATCACCCTCCTTTCCCCACACCAGCCTTTCCCTCCCCTTTAGCAGCCTGTCCCAGGCAGCAGCTCACAAACCACGTAGAAACAGTCACAAGCTTTTAGTGCTTTAGCATAGATGGACCTGCAAAGTGCCCCAAATCTCTGCATTTCTCCCCTATTTCAGGAGTTTGAAAATCAAAACGACGTTTCCGTTTCCAGAGCTCCAGAAGAGCCGCCGATCTACATGAACACGCGTTGAGCAGCTTTGCGCTCAGCCTCTCACTCACGGGAGGGGAACAGGCATCCCCTGCAGCTCTCCCACCATCCAGGATGTGTTTCCCCACCACTGCCTGAGCTCTCTCTGCTTCTCCTATCGCAATTCCCTGTATCCCACAGAAACAACCCCCGTATCCTCCATTCCCACAACACCGAGGACCCCAGCGTGCCACGGGGTCCCGCAGCAGGACGCGCAGGCCGGCAGCGCTGTTTATCCCCACTCTGCCACGAGGTTATTAAACAAGGTGAGATCAGAGGATTTGGGATGTGTTTCAAATACACCCCAGCCAGGGGTTAAAAGCTCAGCATCCTGGCCCAGGCTGCAGTGGGGACCAGGGGATGCTGCACCCTGGCAGCCCCTTCTCATCCTCTGTGGTTCTTGTGCTCAGCACTAAGGAGAACATGGGGAGGAAGAGGAGGTCAGGATCTGGTCAGAGACATGACCTCTGGCCCCAGTGACTCCGAGGTGCCCCAGGAAAGAGGTGGTGCCATGGCTGGCACAGTCACCCCTGTTCCCACACAGCCCTCAGACTTCTGCTTCTCTATTTTAATGTGGCGCCTCGTTCGCTTCCCTCCCCTCTGGGTCTTTGCACAGAGCAAAGGGGCTGAAGGGCGGAGGGGGTGGAGGGAGAGTCCTGGGGAAGCCTGGCTGGAGGGGGTCCCATTCTGCTCCCCCCAGCCCAGCCTCCCATGCAAGTGACAGGATTTCAGCTGCGGAAGGAAGTGGCCCTGTTTGGGTAGGTCTCGTCATCTGCCCAAATATAATCACCCTGCTGCGAAATGGAAACCTACGCAGCTGTTTTAGAAAGGGGAAGAAAAACGACAATGATGGAAAGAAAAAGAAGTGGGGAGATGCTGTAGAAGGGCCTGCGGCCAGCCTTTGAAGCTCAAGATGGGGTGAAGCCATGGGCCAGGGAAGCTCCTCCGGGTGCTACTTGCTCCTGAGGGCAACCCAAGCCTCATTGTCTGCGAGAAGCTCCAGTGCCGAACAGGGAGTGAGAGCACGGGGGGAGCCGCTGCCTGGACCTGCTCCAGCGATGCAGCCATGCTCCTTATTTTCCCTTGAGCCCCAGCATGGATGTACCTGCGATAAAAAAGCCAGAGGAGGAGGAGGAAGATGAGGAAGCTCCACACCATCTCAACTACCCTGTCCCAGCAGGCACCATCAGCAGAGCCGACCCTCAGCCACCCACTCACACCCCTCAGCAGCGCCACGCAATGCCCAGATCACTCCTTCTCCCACTCTCCATATGTCCCATGTCTCCTACTTCCCTCCAGACCGGCTCGGTGCTGCAGAGCCCAGGGCTGGGGCCAGGCACTCGCACCCCAAGAGCGGGCGGGGCACATCTCTCTCAGCCAAAATGCAGCCCAGGGGCTGAGCTGATGCCCTCCGAGCACCTGGGAGGCTGTGCCCACCCCGGCATTGCTCCTTAGCCTGGCCAAAGGGGAGCACCAGCACACACAGCCTCCAGCACCCCCAGGAACACGAGGTGGGCTCTGCAAAGATCAAGCAAAAGTTAAAGCTCCCATGCTGGTTTTGCCCCGTTTCAGCATTGGAAGCTCTGCCCAGCTCATGTGCTCCAGCATCTCTCTGCAGCAGCCATTTGGGGTGACGACCCCTCCTCTCCTACCATCTCCTGCCAAGTGGGGTGCACGGGGTCCCACATCCCATTTCTGCAGCTGCCCACCATCCCTGATGTGCTCCAGGTGTGCAAGTCTGCAAAAAGCGTCTCAGCAGCTTGTCACTTGCAGCAGAAAACCCCCAGTCCCGAGGTGAAGCCCAGCCAGGTGAAAATAACCCCGCAGCAGAGCAGTGGGTTTCGCCGCCGCCTCTTGCATGAGCGAAGATGCGGAGAAAGAAGCCAAAAGCACAGACCAGCTCAGCGTCCCCCATCTCACTGCCCTGCGTGGGACGCTGATGCTCGTAGATCTCCGGAGCAAAGCAGGACCACGAGGTCGGCACCTGGCTGGGGCTGGCTCTTTCTCCCAGGTGAAGACGGGCTCCAACCCCGCCGGCGATGCTCCAGCTCCCGCTGTCATCAGGGAGCTGGGGCTGCTGAGCACTCCCACGGGCACGGGCTCCACATCAGGCACCAATAGAGCCAAAGCCTCCCATCACCACAGCCTCAGATCTGGGGCTAAAAGCCAGCACATTGGGTCTCCCCCAGAGTGCTTCTTTCCAAAGGGGGCTGAGGAGGGCTTGGGGGAGGCTGATTTTGCAGATCTTTTTCTCTCCAGTGTCACTGTGGGTTTCTTTGCAGTTTGCTGGGCTCTGGTTGTCCCAGGGAGGTCAGCAGCCAGGTCAGAGAGATCCTCTCCCTCCACTGCAGGTGACCCCGGGGCTACGGGGCTACGACGCGTGCTGGTGTCGAGGGCCAGCCAGGACTCCTGCTGCAACGCGGTGGAGATGACAGGGTGAGAAGTACGGCGGGTATCCATCCAGGACAGCCACATCTTCTGCATGGTCCTGCTCACTGTGGAGGACCTCTCCAATGCGGATACTGGGAGTTACTGGTGTGGGGTTGAAAGGATGGGTAGAGGCCTGATGGAGCTGGTGACAGTGAAGGTGGTCCCAAGTAAGCCCTGGTGTCCAGCTAGCTGGAGGTTTTGCTGGTCAGACCCCTTTTTCGGAGTGGCCACTGGCTCGTGGGCCAGCAGTGAGGTGGGAGGAAGAGGTGACGCAGGGCAGAGCCCCGGGCTCTGGTCCAGCTATGCTGGTCACCACCCAGAATAAACCAGTGGCAGAGGCTGGGAGGGGTGACAGGTTGCTTTCTTCAGGGGATCTGCTGTCCTCTCACCAGGGTGGCCGCAGTGACACGGAGCAGGACCCCAAGCTGGAGGATGATGTTATCTACACAAACACCCATGTCAGGGGAGGTGACAGCGATGCCTGGCTGACATTTCCTGGGAGAAATTCCCTACTCATCCTAGAACAGCATCCCTCATGGGCAGAGAGTCCCTGCGGGGCCACCTCGGGATGTCCCTGTCATCATCCCCAGGATGTCCTTGCTGCCCACACAGGAGGTGAAGGAGTGTTGCAGGAGGTGGCTGCTGCTGTCCCATCACCGTGGCCGTG